AGTTCATCTGTGCCTTTCGGATAATATTCATTGGTCATTTGCTTTCGAGAATTGTTTTCTTCGTCTATTAGTAGCGGCTTTGATATTAAATCAAAAGTCGAAAGATGATGATAACGCTGCATTGAAAATGATTCTCAATATTAATTTCTTTATCGTTTTCAATTTTCGTGAACATCTTCCACGTTTAATTCTGCTGATTTAACTTCTTCTTCAAATACATCTCTGGATGCTTTATTTTCTTCCTTCTTCGGTTCCAAGATCTGCCTCTTCAGCTATTTTTCTTTTCCTTTGAGCTCTAGTAGAGACGGCATTAAAATGGTATCACTAAGTTTACGTTCAAGTGATAAACTAATAAAATAAGGCAGTTCAGCGTTAACAGGAAGTAATAACCTGATATCACTAATATTACGTTCAGTGATGAACTAATAAAATAAGGCAATTCAATATCAACAGGAAGTAATAACCTGGTATCACAATTATGTTCAGTGATGAACTATAAAATAAGACAATTCAATATCACAGGAAGTTCGGTTCAGTGATGAACTAATAAAATAAAGCAATTTAATATCAAAAGGAAGTAAATAATCTGGTATCACTAATATCGCTCAGTGATCAATAATAAAATAAGGCAATTCAATATCAACAGGAAGTAATAACCTGGTATCACTACTATTGCGTTCAGTGATGAACTATTAAAATAAAGCAATTCAATATTAACAGAAAGTAATAATCTGGTATCGCTAATATTGCATTCAGTGATGAACTAATAAATAAAGCAATTCAATATTAACAGGAAGTTAATAATCTGGTATCACTAATATTATGTTCAGTGATGAACTAATGAAATAAAAATACGCACGATTATTCGATCTTGGTCGGTGCCTCCAAAATAATTATGACTGTGATACTTCTTTGATGAAATGAAGCAACTCCAATGATGGAACACAGCAATAACTTTTATTTAACACTAAAAAAAATGGCGATATACAAACAAGAAGAGAAAACATATTCTATCATTTAAAAATAAATTACATTTTTCGTGCGAGAGTCGCACGAGGCACTCGAGTCTGGTTTCAAATATTGCCATTCACAAATACCTTAATATTCATCTAATTAAATTATTTAATCTACAAGATTTTAATATTATTTAAAGCTGTTACAACCTCTCCCCCAACGGAGAGACTTTTGCCGAAGGGAAAAGTTCTGTAAATTTCGAAAGATTATAAGCTCGGCTTGCTCAATTGCTTAAAGAGAAAAGATAACTTCTCTCATAAGTTTTCAAATTTTCAGGCAAAAATTTTAAATTTTAAACAAATATTTTTACACCACATTTAAATAGGAAGAAAATGGAACAGTGTTCAAATTAGTCTTCTTTTTTTATCTTGACGGCGCCTAGATCTCTTCCATGGTGGACCAGTTCCTCGGCTATAATTCACAGCAAAGCCTTTCCTCAGTTCATCTGTGCCTTTCGGATAATATTCATTGGTCATTTGCTTTCGACAATTGTTTTCTTCGTCTATTAGTAGCGGCTTTGATATTAAATCAAAAGCCGAAAGATGATGATAACGCTGCATTGAAAATGATTCTCAATATTAATTTCTTTATCGTTTTCAAATTTTCGTGAACATCTTCCACGTTTAATTCTGCTGATTTAACTTCTTCTTCAAATACATCTCTGGATGCTTTATTTTCTTCCTTCTTCGGTTCCAAGATCTGCTCTTCAGCTATTTTTCTTTTCCTTTGAGCTCTAGTAGAGACGGCATTAAAATGGTATCACTAAGTTTACGTTCAAGTGATAAACTAATAAAATAAGGCAGTTCAGCGTTAACAGGAAGTAATAACCTGATATCACTAATATTACGTTCAGTGATGAACTAATAAAATAAGGCAATTCAATATCAACAGGAAGTAATAACCTGGTATCACTAATATTATGTTCAGTGATGAACTAATAAAATAAGACAATTCAATATCAACAGGAAGTTACGTTCAGTGATGAACTAATAAAATAAGGCAATTTAATATCAAAAGGAAGTAATAATCTGGTATCACTAATATTACGCTCAGTGATCAACTAATAAAATAAGGCAATTCAATATCAACAGGAAGTAATAACCTGGTATCACTAATATTGCGTTTCAGTGATGAACTAATAAAATAAAGCAATTCAATATTAACAGAAAGTAATAATCTGGTATCGCTAATATTGCATTCAGTGATGAACTAATAAAATAAAGCAATTCAATATTAACAGGAAGTAATAATCTGGTATCACTAATATTATGTTCAGTGATGAACTAATGAAATAAAAATACGCACGATTATTCGATCTTGGTCGGTGCCTCCAAAATAATTATGACTGTGATACTTCTTTGATGAAATGAAGCAACTCCAATGATGGAACACAGCAATAACTTTTATTTAACATAAAAAATGGCGATATACAAACAAGAGAGAAAACATATTCTATCATTTAAAATAAATTACATTTTTCGTGCGAGAGTCGCACGAGGCACTCGCGTCTGTTTCAAATATTGCCTTCACAATACCTTAATGTTCATCTAATTAAATTATTATATATACAAGATGTTTAATATTATTAAAGCTGTTACGTACAGTACTGAATTGCTTCATCAACTTTCCTTACCAAATCATCGGTGACAACAGAAGGCCGACCACTCCGAGCCTCGGCGTGGACATTTGTTCGACCTGCATTAAACATTCTTACCCACTTTCTCACCATTCCATAAACTTCTATCACTTGACGATAAATTTCGGCCGGTTTAACATGCCTCGCGTTCAAAAATTTAATCACGGCACGAATCTCACAGTCAGCGGGAGAACTAATTGTCTTAAACATTTTGAATGTATATAGCAACTGAAACACAACATAGAGCAACCAGTAATGGCGACAATTGAAAGTCAGTGAACAAGAAAGACTAGCGCGCATGCGCGGGACGCCTACCAAAGCGCTGCGACGACGCTAGAATGAAACGGTACTTAGTTTCCGAATACGCTACGTATATACACCGGCAATCTTTATGCGCGGGCGTAAAATAGCGAGCTTTAAATATCAGCGAATCAACTTGGCCGAAAGGCAAAACGTGCTCTGTCTAAAGTAACTCAGACACCAGCGTATATATATTTTTTAACGTACTTTGCATAATGCGCGAAACTGAAAGATAATTCTGGCAGGAAATAGAAATAAGAGAAAATAGAAAAGGTAATTAACTGAGCAAAAGTGGTTAGTTTAAAACTAAATAAGTACTTACAATTAGAAAAACAAATTCTTGAGATTCATTCGGCTGTTCCTTCAAAAAAGATTAAAGAATGTTTAACTATTTATTATATTATATGATTTTAGAGTTGTTTTGCTTTTGCTTCAGAGTTGATTTGAGTTCTTTGTGTAAACTAGTTAGCCACCATTTTTTGAATTAATTATCATTACTTGATTATTTCATTAATTTCGCAGCATACTGCATGACTTTAATAACTAATAATCTTAATTTTGGAATTTCAGAATGCTTGCTTATATTTGCATGCATATATAATTAAAATAAAAGATGCAATAAGGTCTAATAAACAGGTAACTATATCGCGCCTTGGAAGTTGCTGCAATTAAAGGCTAATGATTTTAAACTTAAAACTAAAATTGAAAGCAAATTCTGAAATCATGTTCAGATATAGCAATGTGGAACAAGAAATGGAATTCGACTAAAACAGTATAAAAACAGCCATTCCATAAATTCAAGAAAAATAAAAAATATAATTTTTAAAAAATTAAAAAGTTTTACATTTTCATGGCCATTACATTTTTAATCGTTAGATTTCAAAAAATGTAAAAGATCAACAGCTTGTTTCTGAGCTAATCAATGAACAGTTTAACACTGGGAATGTCCAAAAACTAAAAAAAATTCATTTCTAGAAAAAAAAATTAATTGCGAAAAAAGTGAGATTCTATTTTAGCTGTGTTAACTCGACAAGCAAGAAATGAAGCTTACGGAACTTGGCTAATTTTTTTTAAATGATGGAGACAAAATTGAGACTTTCCGCTGCATGTAGCCGAATTAAAGCAACATTAAGGAGTATGTTTTAATATACAGAAAAATAATAACTTAGCATCGAAACTGTTTGCCGATATTGAAATGTAAAAGAGGGTAACTTACTGCAACTTTGGGAAACAATGTTTTCCAGTAATCCAGGAATGCAACAAAACTGGGAAGCAATAGTTTAAGGTTTATGTTTCTTGTTTGAATTTTAGAACAGGATTATTTTGCAATGTAGTTTTCATACAGATTTTCAGTGTGAAGTAGTATTGAAACTATTTAAATGTGAAAAAACGCCTAAAAATTAAAATATAAATAATAGGAAAAACTTGAAATTAGTTAATGGACTTGATATTCGCGGAAAACTGATTTTCGTAAAGTCTCAGAAAGGCCTTTGGAATTCTCGCAGCGATAAAATTCTTACACTATTTATAAAGAATAATCATTCCATTGAATTCAGCAGCCTTCTAGATATCATGTTAAAACTTTGATCTCCACTATCTTAATATAAATTCACTGATTATTTTATGCATCAAAATTGTAACTTATATTTTGTATAATTAATACAATTATTTTTAATCAGATTCTAAAATTTTTAGGATTGCTGCCCTTTTTAATTTTAAAACTAAGATACTCATTAGTACATCGCTATTATTCATTTTCTCTTTACTCTCGGTTTAAACTGGTAAGCGAGGGCTATTTCGTTTGATGCTCTCTGATTTTCGACTAATATTGAATTCTCTCTGGTTCTCGTAGTAATGCTATTCCGCATCCTAATATCATCTTCTTCTAGTCTCGTTGGGAAATACCGGAAACAGCCTTTCGCCCCATAAGAATAATCGAAATGTGTTGCTCAGCGCCGCCCTGGTGGACACTGCTCAAAGCTGCCTTGCAATCGGTTGGAGGAAAAAACAACAAAGCGGGTTGGAAATTAGTAGTGTTATGTTATTTTAAGGACGTGTACAATGCGGACGTAAAAGGGCGGCTCTGTAGCCGCTCTGCCAGCGCCGGTAAGTGCCCTCGTTTGTTTTATTTGCGAGAAAAACTTTGATTGTAGTGATTCTTCGTAGTTTTCTCTGTGACAGATGTTCCTGGAAATACGGCAGAATTTTGTTGAGTAGCCGAAACTGTCATGGCGGCTCAGTGGCGCTGCCTGTCGTATTCGAAACATGGCGAATAATTTCTATCTTTACCTGTGGGTGACGAATCTGTTCGAAAAGACATTTTTACATACTGTAGAGAACATATTTTCTATCTCTTCGTTTAAATCCTGTGACTTGTGGATTGTCCAAAATTGATTATTCCCTTATCTGGATTTTAGAAACTGTTCTGTTATCTTTCGAGTGTAAAGGTATGTATCAGAATTCCTATATCTTTGCATTCTTCGAGCGAAACGGTAAAAGATGATGGGAAATATTATCCCTAGTATTGAAGTAAGCTAGCTGTAAAAAATAACATTTTTTTATCAGGAAAAATAATTCTTGGTATATTTAGGATGAATTTACAAATACATAAAATAATGGCTTAGGCTTTCAAAGTCTACGACCTTAGTTTTTTGCAGTTAAAATATTCAATTTTCCAAAAGTCTAATTTCGAATTCTTATTTTTTATTAAACGTGGATAGTCTGTTTTTATTTCAGTGTTAAAATACTGCATTTCGATTAATTAATTAGTAAATATTGAAAATCGTAAACACTAGGAAGAACATACTGTAATTATTTTAAAATATTTTTTAAAAGAGCAAGAGTGTTTATAAATGTTGTAGATGTAAACGAAGGATTTCATATTATTTTGATTCTTCAGTATTTTATCTTCTTTAAGGGAAGGTAACTGTAACTAAGCTCATTTGATAACACGCGGAATTGAGATAGTCTATAAATTTTCTCAGTCTAGAAATTGTTTCAGTGATAGTCTTATTGTTGTTTGATATATTTAAGGTTTAACAAACATCGTTTATGCACGGTGTTTAGTTACATGCTATTTAAAAACTCTATGTGAAGTCTAATAAAGTGCTACCTTTCGTATGAAGAGTCTTGTATGTTAAGTAGTTTAATGGATATTTTGGAGAAAAGAATACATTTCGATAAGTGTCAGATGGATGGAGATGGTTTATTTAGGGATATAAAATAATGTGCGGCAATCATTAGTTTCTAAAATGTTTGAGTATTCGAAAATAGTTTTTTAATTTCTTCTCCCCCTCTTCCTCTCTCTCTCACTAAATATTATTATAATATATATATACATTTCCGTATATTATAATTTAAGTTCAATTCAATAAAAAATGCTTTTTAAAAATACTCAAAAGATCTTTTAAAAAATAAACAAACATTTAATGTTTTTCATTTCAGTTTCAAATAATTTGTTAAAAATGCACTTTTCTGTGAGTCATTTATGGCGCTTATTTCAAAATACATTAGAAAAAGGAGATTCAGGTAACAAGTTTTTATTTGATACCCAAATTTGGATTTTTTAGTATTAATGTGATGAAATGGGAAATTTTTCTATTTCATTTTTTTGTTAATCTTTAAAAAGGTGCAGGTTTGAATTTTCGGATACGCAAGTTTTAAATATTTTCGCATCAAAGAATTCCATAAGATTGTAATAAGAATTTTCGCTAGATATGAAGCCACGAAATACTTCATAATACACTTATATTCTTATTGATTAAAGCAAATGAATAAATAAATTTAAAAAATGAAAATTGCACAAGAAATAAAATAGTTTTTTTATTAATGATATAAGTAGTCTAATTTTTATGAGAATTACATAAAATAAATAATATTTGGTAGAAATGGAGAATATGATATAAGTATTTCTAATTATCTGTGTGCCAGAATTCTTGAACAATAAATACAATTTACTGAGGTGACACTTATCAGCAACTGAGCCAAAGTAAAATGCTACTGAAAAATCTACTAACAGTGCGAAGTATGATAACCATAAAGAAGTCAGAGACCTGTAGAAAACGCACTGTTTCACAAAAAGCTTATTTTGATGTATCGAAAGAAGAGGCTTTACACAATATCTTCTAATGGAAAGATTTCAGAATGAAGTGTGTGCGAAGTATGTCAGTAATATAACAGACGATGAAAACTGTTACGTTCAGAAGGTGTTAAGAAAGGTGTGTTTTTGCCTTTTCAAAGAAAACGATGGAATCTTGTTCGCCCAACTGACCAGAGTAACGTTATTACAAATAACAAATGTTTGACTTTAAAAAAGTCTTTTCAAAATTTTCAGACCATTAAGTTAAGTTGCGCAAGCGTAGATTTATCCTTCGGGTTAATTTCAAGCATGGCTACAGCATGAACATACGAATTATAATGTATTATGTGCGCCGTTTTCAAATAGATAGTTCTAAGAGTATTTTCACTGCATAAGGCACGAGATCTTTAATTTACTTTTCAAATTTAAACAGTTTGTTATTTCTTAATGAACTGAGTATTTGAAAAGCAACAGAAGGAATTTGAGGCAAATTTAAACATTTTAGTAATTATTTAATTTATGAAAATTAAAATTATCTTTACTTTATAATACGTGCAGCTGATAGTTTCTACGTGCAGTTGCAGCATAATTATACATAATTACCAAAAGGTGTTTCTAACATCATGCATTACTTACTTTAAATATAGAAATTTTTTTATTGGATAAAAATATCATATTATCACTATTCATAAAAATATCATAATTATTCATACAAATTATCGATTATTATCGATTGAATAATCGATAATTTGTATGAATGTTCACACCAGCATTATAATTAATAAAATATGTTTCTCGTGCTATATCTTACATACTTAACTACAAAAGTATTAGGATTTTCAGGTAACACAAAGTCAGGTTTTTTCCACAAAAATAACGTAAATGACTCATTTTTAAAAACAGTATTTTCAAAATAGATGTTATTCTAAACACAGATTTTATAATAAAAATTAAACTTTTGCATTTGTGTTTTCATTTAAAGTAGCTTAAGCAAGTAAAATGCATTTTTAATTAAAAAATAGTTGCTAAATTCTTTTTCTAATACCGGCTATTATTTTTTAAATTATTAAAGGTGATGGCCATAGGCGACACTAACAAAACGAACAGTATTGGGGACGGGAACCACATGAATCGAATATCTGAAAGTAAGCCACAGCAAATCTTGCAGTTAGAAAACTTTATAGATTAACATCTAAAAAAAAGTTTACAATGGAAAATATATTAATAACTTAAATAGTATGAAAAATCATTAAAACTGCATTCATAAAAACTTCTCGCATTCAGATTTTATACTCGAAACTGAAACAAAATCTTTATCATATACTTATTAATTTAATAATGAACCTTTAGAAGTTCAAAACGAATAATATAAAATTATATATTTAAAACGAACTATTCCACTGAACATTATTGAACACTGCTTTAATATGCTTCCAGCAAAATTAATATAAGAAGAGACTTTGGCACTTAGTAGCAAACAAAGGACTAATTATTTAATAACGAAACATAATTATTTAACTGCGAAAAGACTTAATCATCCAAGAAATATTTCCTGCAAGATAAGCGATAACAGTTTCAATTTTGCAAGGAAATGAAGAAGTAGATTTTGAGATTTGCGCTTTAGAATATTCGAAACTTATTTTATTTTCAGTAATGTTTAAAATAGCACTTGTTACAAAATGTTACTCTAAAAATAAAGTACATAACTTTGTTAATTTATGTGGCAGTTTACTAAGATAATAAATGATCTTATCCCATTATGTGTATTTATACCCAGAGTTTCGATCTGGCAATCCTATAGTGGCAAAACAATGTACCTGTTTCCGTAGGCAGAGTTATTTTTAAGTATTCATAAAGAGTTTGATACAAAACAACTCGTCATCCTCCAATTAACGCAGAAAGCGGGAAAAAAAAAAAAAAAAAAAAAAAAAAAAAAGCGAGCGCGGATCTCGTATACTTGTGTTCACTGCAGAAAAAGGTTATGTGCAGGAAAGACACCTTTAAAGAAAGGACACCTTTGAACGCTGCTTTTTTACGGGAAGTAAAATATTGCTAGGTGAGGAACAAGAAATATCTGAACTAACTAAGGCATATCCTATTTAGACATCTGAAAAATCCAAATGTAGAAATGGGCAAATGTAGGCCCTGTAGCCTACATTTCTTCTGTAGGTCAAATTTGTGATTATTGCTATGCACGTGAGGACTTTTTCGTTTGAAATTTTTGTTTCTATTTTATCAGATATTACAGAATTAGCAAATGAAATACTTTTGTATCCATTCACACGCGTAGAAAAAAAATAAAATAAAAAAATAGAAATTAAAAAAAATCTGAAATGTTTCAGATTTTAAATTACGTCCAAAGGGGCGTTTTTTTAACGTTTTGAGTGTTACCTTTATTTATTAAATATCATGTTCTTTGCACTTAAACCATAAAATTCAGTTCGAGAGCAATATCGCAAAATAATGTTAAATTAAGCATATCTTTAGAATTTCTGATATACACAGTCTCGCGAGCTGGAGATAAAAGTATTTTTTTTCTATATAACGTTGCCATTTCTCGCTTTTAAAGCATTGAGTTTGTAAATAAAAAATTCGTTAAAGTTTTACAAAATATAAAATCTATAATAAAACAAATTCCAAATTTGGGATTTCAGATGCCCATATTCGCAGTAGGATTTCGTCATTCAAAATTCGATGGCTCTATGTACCATTGTTTTATCACAATGCGAGAAATAGACAATCATTTATGCAGATTTTTCATTATTTAATTTCTTCAAATATAATGCAGGACTCTAACATTTTGTGGCAACACAGTTTGAAAAGTGAAACCGACGTTATTAGAGTCCGACGCAAAATCGCAAAACGAAAACAATAGTCCTTCAGGGACAAAGCCCCTTTGGACTAATAAATAAATAAATAAATAAACGCTCGTATGGGCATAATATGAAATCTGAAAGTTTATATTATGCCCAAACAAGCGGTTTTTTTTCCTGTTTACAGACACATACACATTTCGAGAGCATTTGGGTTAACGCCACTTTGGACTAAAAATATTTAAAGACAGGAGATCTTCAGAATTTCCGGAGATAAAAATGCTTTATTTCCTACAGTGTTGTCACTGCTCGCAGTGAAATTGTTGAGTTTTTAATAAAACGTTCATTAAAGTTTTAGAAAATATGAAATATACAATAAAACAAATTCCAAATTTGGGCTTCCAGGTGCCCATTTTCGGGTGGAGGACTACGTTATTCAAAATTTGATGATAGAACTGTGGAAAAACACTGTGATGAACACACTTTGCTGAACAAACACTTTGATGAACACTGTCGAAAAACAACTCTAGATACCGTTGTTTTTCCACAGTGCGAG